ACTGTTAACTTCCCTTATAGACCTCATAATCATGAGTATGTTTTGTGAATTCTCTTCAGCCATTGCAAGGAATTGTGGAACCCAGCTGGTGGAGTGGTGAGTTGCAGATTGGGCTGCTAAGCATAAGGTTGGCAGTTCAAATCTACTAGCTGCTCCTTGGGAGAAAAATGAAGATTTCTGCTCCCATGGACACTCACAGCCTCAGAAAGCCACGGGGGCAATTTTACTTTGCCCTCTAGGGTGGAAATTGAGTGAGTGGGAGGGATGACAGGTGTTAGAATTGGTAAAAGGGGTGAAAGGATAGAAGCATGTCTGACCTGAGCCTCATAGGATTTGGTCTTGGCTGATGAATTGGATTCTGCTCGGCCCTTGTGAAGTCCAAGGAAGTCAGACACCGCCTCCATGCCATTTTTGCTGTAACCAAACAGTCTGACCTGGTGAGAGAAAGAATCTTGACTAGTAATACATGTGGAAGCAATGATGAGTTATAAAATTACCATTCTGTGAGCACTAGTGCAAGGATAGGCAAGGAACAAGGAATCAAACTATTAGATAAAAGTTTAACATGAAGCCTTCCAATGGCGGGACCAGGCTGTCATGACGTGAGTTTCTGGATCAGTCACAAACACCAGCTTTGACTCCTGGAAACCCCTTGTGTTTCAGAGTCAAACTGGGCTCCATAGTGTTTTCAGCAGCTGGTTTCTCTCAGGTGCCTCAGGGTGGATTTGAACCTCCAACCCTTTTCTTTGGTCAGCAGCTGAGCTCGTTAAGTACTAACAGGGACTCTTAGCATCCCTAGGATGGGGACAAAGAAACCGTGTGATGTCAAAGCATAGCACTTCCCTCCTAAAATCTCTTGCCCCGATGTTGAGTGTGGGTAACAAACCAACCTCTAGATCCAAACTCAATTTTCAGGAAATATGGAAGAAAGGGCTAAGTGAAATGGTCCCACAAGCAAGCAGGCAAATCCACAAAATGAGGCATCTTCAGGACAGCTGACCTGGTTTCTGCAAAGAGTTAATGCCACCGAAAAAGTTAAAGTGTCCAGAGAATGTTCTAGAATTATGGGCATACCTGGAAGATAGTGTGGATTCCATTCCAGACCACTGAGATAGTGTGACTACTGCTATAAAAGTGAGTCCCACAGTGTTCTGGCTTCCCAGTGCATATACGAGTGAAAGAAATGGTGACGCTGTGATGTGGTGAAGTGTACAACAGTCTCGTGTAAAAGCTTGAAATAGTCTGAGAATGACCCACAGGGGATGCAGATCCAAAAAGTGAGCAATGCCATGGGGAAAATGGAGCGGATAGACTCGGCTTGACATCGAGTTGCCACAAATCTTCAATTTGTAAAAACAGAACAAAACAAAAAACCACCAGGTGGCCCAAGTGCAGTGATGGGACGCGCAGACTCCAAAGCTCATCGCTGCTGACTCGGTTCTGACTCGTGAAGACCCGATGGGACACAGCAGAACTCGGTGTGTAGATCGGGTACGCACTGAGCTGAGCAAACCGCTGTAAAAAGATGCATTTCAGAAAACCAGGGAAATTAGGTTTTGTCTTGCATATGACACAATACAAGAAGCACTGGTGGCTGCTAACCTCTTAGTCAGCAGTTTGAAACTACCAGAGGCTCCTTGGGAGAAAGAGGAGGCTTTCTGTTCCACTAAAACTTACGTCTCAGGAACCTACAGGCTCAGTTTTACCCTGTCCTATGGGGCCACTATGAGTCGGAATCAACCCGATGACATTGAGTCTGATTTTTCTTTTGGATCAAATGAATGGTCGTTGATTGTGCCAGAATAGGTGCTTTTTTTTTTTTTTTTTAGAGCTCTGTATGAAGGCAAGTGACACTGTATGAAATTTAAAATGCTGCCGCAGAAGAAAACCAAAAGGGATACACAGAACCAATGTGACAAGATCTGCATCATCGTTTAAGCTGAGCGAAGGGACAAAAAAAGCCCTGCCAATCGATGTCCACACAGAATGACCCTATAGGACCGAGTAGAACTGCACCTGTGGGTTTCCGAGGCTCTAATTCATTACGGGAGTGGAAAGCCCTGTCTTTCTCCAAGGCAGAAGCTAGTGGTTTCAAACCGCTGGCTTTGCGGTTCGCAGCCCAACGCCTAGCTGCCATGCCACACGCGCCCTAATTGGACACTTCAGTAGCATTAGCCAATTGCAATGGCGTTGACTCCGCCTCACTGCGGCCCCCTGGGTATGAGGGAGCAGGAGCAAATTCATGCTAGTGGCATCTTTTGAGACCACCTGAAGATCTCCATGCCAACAAAATGGACCGGGAGGGCGGGCGCGGGGTGAGGATGTATTTGTTCTCCTTTCCCAGGACTGAAGGCCTGTGGGTGGAAGTGAAACACACACCAGGAGGTGTGGTATGAAACCCCTCTCCTGGGCCTAGTTGGTATGTAGGCCACGCCCCCACCAGGGATTTAAAAAAAAAAAACCATCACAGCTTGCTGCAAGAGCCAATGTCTGAGGGCTAGCTTTTTTGGGGTGATTTTTTTTTTCTCAAACAGGAAATTATTTCCGAGCTATTAAAAAGAAAATTCCCAAAGCAGCAGCTGCAATTTTTGTTCTAAGAGAATAACCCTGTGCTTTAGTCAAACCCAAATAAAAGCCTGGTTCACATTCACCCCCAGAAAGCACGGACCTGTTTGACCTCCTGTTAACCATTGGCCCTTCCACCCAAGACTGAATCTGTTTTATGATGTACCTCCCCCAGGGAAGTCCCATAGGTCCCAGGTGGCTTGTCTAACTAAGAATGACCTAGGCATCTGGCTTCAGTACACCTGGGGTGAAGACAGCCTCAGCAGGTGGTAGAACCAGAATTAACTTCTTGGAAGCCCTACTTAAGACAGCAAACCCCCCCAAAAAAATCAATCTCACTGCCATTGAGTCAAATCCTACTCATAGCAACCCTACAGGACAGGATAGAATTGCCCTGTGCGTTTCTGCGACTGTAACTGTTTATGGGAGTAAGAAGCCCCCTCTTTCTCCTGAGGAGCTGCTGGTAGAGGCAGTAATGAGGTAATTAGGCCTGGGTGCCAGCAGCTGCCCAGCCCTCAGTGCCTCAGGTACACTGATTGCCGCTCTGCGGTGGGGGAAGAGCACCTGGAACTTCCTAGAGGCGGTTCACTTGACCTGATTCCGTCTTCTCCGCTGCTCTCATCTGGATTCTCGGCTGTCACCCCACATTATCCGAGCACCAAGTCATGCTCAGCATCTCGCTCGCTGCTCAAGGACTTGGGTATCTATGGATAATCTTATCTGGGGGCATACTCCCAGGACTTCACAGGCTGGGCCAACTTCCGGCTTGTTCATTTGGGGCCTTGCAGCGGATAGGATGCCCTGTTGATTTTCTTATTATTATTGAATCATATACACAGCAAAGTACACGCCGATCCAGCAGCTTCCTTGTGTGCAGTTCAGTGACATTGATGCCCTGTTCATTCTTGTTTCTCTTAATACAAATGAGCCATAGCCCATTGCAGAAAACATACTCAAGGAACGTGAAAAGACAAGAAAATCATATCCAATCCTGTCGCTGTCAGTTCCCTGGAGTCCCCACACTCACGGTACACATGGAAGGAACACGCTGCCCGGTCCTGGTTTTCTGCTAGCTGATTTTTTAAAGTAGGTTGGTAGGTTTTTCTTCCTAGTCTGCCTTACTCTGCTGCGCTGTAGTCTGTTCAGCATCACAGCAATGCACAAGCCTCCACCTACACTTAGGATGGGTGGTGGCTGCGTATGAGGTGCACAGACCGGGAACTGAATCGGGTGTCCTGCATGGAAGCCAGCAGGACCCATCACCCCCTATCAAACCCATGGGCCCCCAAACGGATTTGATCTACTGCCCTTTCCAGGAAAAAAAAATTTACTCAGCATCCCCCTGGTACCGTGTATATATACTTGAGTATAAGCCGAACCGAACATCAGCCGAGGCACCAAATTTTACCACAAAAACTGCATTAAAAATGTGCCGAAAACCTCAACTTATACAGGAGTATACACAGTAATTTAAAATGCTTTCCTACTTTATCCAGGATAAAGTGTAGGTATCTGCTCTTGCAGCCCCCACCCCATCAATCCAGCCCCCCCCCCACCTTTGGCATCACCACCTTTTGGAAACACTATACTGATAACCATTGCGTCCCTTCAGACTCAGAGTGCGACCCTGGAGGACAGAGTAGAACTGCTTCCAGAGGGTCTCTGAGGCCGTAACCTTTTTTCTTCTTCTAGGATCAGGATGCATCTTTTTAAAAGTTTTATTGGCATATAGTTCACATATCATACAACTCAATAGTTCAGTCATATTCAGAAGTTTGACAATCATCACCACAATCAATTTTAGAACATTTTCTTCATTCTTGTACTCATTATTAGCTTCTTCCCTCCCACTCGCCCCCCCAGCCTCCCCTGCCTACCCCCAAGAAACCTCAATCCAGTGACTGCCCTATCCTGGATTTCATATACAGTACAACACCTTTAGGGAAGCGGACTGCTTCATCTTTGTCCCGAAAGGTTGGCGGGGTGTGGGGAGGGCGGGAGGGGGGGAGCGCTTAACCACTGTGCCGCGGGACTCCTTTCTCTGGCCCTACCATCCGCAAGCGCTCCCAGCCTTGCGCTGACTCTTCGGAGCCCCCTGTGTGTTTAAGCGCGTGTGACTACTGGGAGAATACAGATATTTCTTCAGAAAGCACACTTGTCACCGTGCCACTACTGAGCACTTTCTCCTGTCGTCAAACGCCCAAAGCAAATGCTGAAGGTCTGACCCACAGAAACAAAGTGCCCCGAGGGGGTTGGCCGGCGAACAGATCCCAGGTGACCACGGAGTCACGGTCAAGACTACCGGGGGGGCGGGGCGCTCCGGCTCTGTGACGGCACCCAGAAGCCCCGCCCCTTGGGCGGAGCCAAACGAAGCTCCGGGCAGGGGGCACTCCCCCTTCCCGCAGCGCGCTCGCGCGGGCGGGCGGCCGGCGGCGATGGAGCTGGGCGCGGGCTCGACGCTTCCCGGCGCTCCCCGCGCCCACGCTCCCACCCTGCAGCGGTCCCGGGAGGCGCGGCCGCCGGCGGGCTGGGAGGAGGAACTCAACGACTGCCTGGACTACTACTACCTGCGCGACTTCCCAGCCGGCGGGGCCGGACGCAGCAAGGGCCGGACGCGCCGCGAGCGGGAACTGCGCACCAATTGGCCAGTGCCCGGCGGCCACGAGCGCAAGATCGCGCAGAAGCTCCTCAACGCTCAGCGCAAGCGGCGCCAACGCCAGCTGCAGCCCCGGCCGCGCACCCGCCTCGCCTGAGCGCCGGTGCGGGTGGTGGGGCCCTGGGGAAACGTCCCCCACTCCTGGCCAGGAGGTTCAGCCTGAGCTGAGCCCCCTCCACTCCCAGCCTGGCTAGGGACTCCTGTTACGGAGCTAGGTATAAGTACCTAGATCGCTGGCTGGGGCGCAAAGTACCGCGCAAGAAAGACCTGGCAGCCTGCTTCTGTTACCATTGTTATTAGCCATTCAGTTCATTCCAACTCACAGCAATCCAATGGGACACAGCAGAACTGGCCCCTAAGATGTTCCAGGTTCTAAATCTCTATAGGAGCAAAGCACCAGGTCTTTCTCCCAAGGAGCAGCTACAGGGTGGATTCAGATCTCTCACCTTTTGGTTAGCAGCTGAGCACCTTAACCATTCCCTGCACCACCACGGCTTCCACTTACAGATGATGGCCAAGAAAAGCCTGTGACGCAGCTCTACCCTGCGCAGGGGTGGGTGGCCCAGAGTTGGTACCCACTCTAAGGACTACTCCCGCCACCGTTTGGGTAGAAGCAGGGGTAGAAACCATGCGCTCGGCCTCAGACTGAAGCCACTAACCAACCCTTGTTTGCCTCTGATTTTCTACAGGACCTTGGAAGAACCCGATAATAGTATTTTCTCTGGCTCTGACCGTGACTGGCACTGGGAGCAAAAGAAGCCATGTTGGTCAAAACGGAACTTCTTTCAACCTGCCTCTAGTGGGCTCTCACAGTATCTTTCCTTGCCAATTGATTGATAGGTCGTATGTAGGTAGGCCTTTTTAGGATTTCTAATTAAAGGGGAGCAGCAAGAATGGCATCTTCACGCTTGTATTTCTGCCGGTTGCTGTGGTAACTCAGGTCCAGTCCACAAATAAATGTACTGCGGTTTTGTGTGCGAGGAAGCCACTGGGGTTGAATACAGGCACTATCCTGACCTTAAATTTACAGAGCAGCGGGGAGGGGAAAGGCAGGCACCTGGGTATCAAAGACTACCATATGGGTTTAAACCATGGTTACTGAAATGGGAATCGTTTATGTTATAGCAATGGTTGTGTTCACTGAGGAGCCCTGGTGGCATATTGTGCTGCTAACTGCAAGGCCCAAGGTCTGCAGTTCGAAACCACCAGCCTAAAGTGGATTCTATTTCCCCCTTACAGTTGTGGTCATTCTGAAATGAATCCCTTCTATACTTTTTAAAGTGTTGAACCACCTTCTCCCCCAAAAAGGGTTCTGGTGGTACAGTGGGCTAAGCATCGGGCTGCTAACCAAAAGGTTGGTGGTTCAAACACACCCGATGCTGCTCCTTGGGCGAAAGAGGCAGCTGCAGACGTGTGCTCCCACAAAGGCTGACAGTCTTGGAAACCCACAAGGGAGGTTCGATTGTCCTGCAGGGTCACGATGAATCCAAATAACTTGACAACTGGCTTTTCCAGGGACTTTTCTCTTGAAAGCCGTCATCTGCATTGAATGTCTACTGCCTTGAAAGCCAAGAGAATGTCAGAAAGTTCGTGTAATGGTTTAACCATTTCATTTTGTGTCCAAGGAAGCCCTGGTGGTGGTATGGGCAGGAGCTAGGGCAAGATACAGTAGTCGGCTCCCATTAAGACACATAGCACTGCAAACCCTTCAGAGGCAATTCTACCCTGTCTCATAGGGTCACTATGAGTCAGATGTGACAATGGTCTGGTTTGGGTGTTGAACTCATAGTTCCTACAGGATTTTGTACTCTTAAGATCAGCAGTTACATTCCAGCATCACTCTTGGTCTGACACATGCAAGGCACAATATTCATGTAAGTCTGTCTGTGCTACCCAAAGTAGAAACCAAACAATGGCAAACATTTCAGTTCCTCCACAACCCCTGCTGGACAATGAAGCCGACCTGGTGCACAGAAGCAAACCAAAGTCCCCTGCCAACGAGTCAATTTTGACTCGGAGCAACGCTCTATAGTCTACAGCAGTGGTTCTCAACCTGGGGGCCGCGACCCCTTTGGGGGGTCAGGTGACCCTTTCACAGGGGTCGCCCAATTCATAACAGTAGCAAAATTACAGTTATAAAGTAGCAACGAAAATAATGTTATGTTTGGGGTCACCACAACATGAGAAACTGTATTAAAGGGTCGGCGGCATTAGGAAGGTTGAGAACCGCTGGTCTATAGGGTTTCTGAGACTCTTAAGTCTTTATGGGAACAAACCACTTCATCTTTCTCACACAGTGGCTGGTGAGTTTGAACCACCAACCTTACAGTTAGTGACCCAACCCCAAAACACCAGGGCCTCTTATCTGGGTGGACACAAACAAAAAAGTCCCACTGCCATCAAGTCAATTCTGAATCATAGGGACCCTTTGGATAGGGTAGAACGGCCACTGTGGATTTCTAAAACTCTTATGGGAATAGAAAGCCTTGTCTTTCTCTTGCAAAGCAGCTGGTGGTTTTGAACTGCTGATCTTGCGGTGAGCCGCCCAACTTGTAAAAGCTATGCCATCTGTGTGGACATAAACCATGTTAAAGTGTTACGTCAACACTCTGTACATATAACCCCCTCCCTGGGGGATGGATGGACAACAGAAAAGTGCGTGAAGGGAGATGCCTGACAGTGTAAGACATGACAAAATAATAATTTATAAGTTATCAAAGGTTCATAAGGGAGGGGGGCGGGGAGGGGAAAAATGAGCTGATACCAAGGGCTCAAATAGAAAGCAAATGTTTTGAGAATGATGATGGCAACAAATGTTCAAATGTGCTTGACATGTTGGATGGATGGATAGATGGTGTTAAGAGTTGTACAAGCCCCTAATAAAATGATTTTTTAAAATGTTATGGTGGTCTGCTTACTTGAACTTGCTCATTTTAGATAACTCAGATTTTTTCATTTAAATTATATGAAGGTCATGGTAGAAATGGGCATACATTCTCTGTAGCCGAATAACAAATTGCTCAGAACTTGGTGGTAGAAAGCAACAAACACAACCTCCCCGCTTCTGTGGGTCCACAGGTAGCCGATCTGGATGGCCCAGGCCAGAGAGTCTCACAAGACACAACCAAGCTGTTGGCCGGACAACAGGCATCTGGAGCCTTCCAAGTGGGCTCCCTCACATGGGTGCTGGCAGGCGGCCTGTTTCTTGACGCATGAGCTTCTCCTGAGACTCCCGAGTGCCCTCATGATATAGCAGCTGGCTGTCCCCAGAGTGAACAGAGAGGAGAGGAGGAGAACGATGAGAAGGCCAGGGCTTTTTATAGTATCATCACTTCTGCTTTTTTTGGTTAGAAGTGAATCACTAAATCCAGCCCACACCTTCTGCTCACTGCAGCTATGGAGTCGACTCTGACTCATGGTGAGCCTACAGAGCAGAGCAGAACTGCCCCTGTGGGCTTGGGAGGCTGTAACTTTTTATAAGAGCAGAAAGCCTCCTCTTTCTCCCTTGGAGCCTCTGCTGGGTTCAAACTGCAGACCTTGGGTTTAAGCAACCCAACTCGTAACCCACTGTGCCACCAGGCTCTTAGCCCACACCTGATGGAAGCAGAAACAGGCTCCATCTTTGAAAGTAGTGGTAGCGGTGGTTCTTAGCTGCCATCAAAGGTAGTGTCAAGAGTTTGTCAACATAATTTCACCGCCACATGGCTCTTATGTGTTCAATGTAGACAACAACGAGCCAGAAAATCACTTTTATCCTGTCACCCAATACGTAACACTACTACTTCGGTGTATATAATTCCATTTCAAATATATATGGAACAGTCATACTGTGCATACTATTTTGTAACCACCTTTCACATAATAAAATGCAAAGACATTTTTCATGTCAAGGGTTCAAAACATTGTTAGGAGATGCATAGCATTCCAGCATGTATATGTACTGTAACTTATTTAACTAGTTCTCTATCGTAGGACATGATGTCCTGATGTAGTGGATCATAGTGTTGGCTGCTGACCACAAGGTCAGCAAATCATCCATCAGCCTCTCTGAGGAAGAAAGACGAGGCTGCCTGTTCCCGTAAAGTCTCATAAACCCTAAAGGGACAGTTCTACTCTGTCCTGTGGGGTTTTTGTGAATCAGCAGTGAGTCCACGGCAGTGAGTTGGGCTTTGATATAGGATAAGAAGCCCTGGTGGCACCATGTTTAAGCCACTTGCCCCTTAACCGCAAGGTCTGCAGTTTGAACCCACCAGTCGCTCAGGATAAAGCACTTTTGCTGGCTGCTGGAAATCCCAGTCGATACTCACCAAATTAGGCTGCAGAACATTCTTTGTTAACTGTTATGCCCATTGATTGGTCCTCCAAGACTATTGTCCTCATCCCCAGCCAGCGACTTCTTCCCTCAAGGTGTTTGGGTAGGTCTCAGCAAGTTGTCTTAACTCTGCCCCCCATGTGCTCCACCACATTCATGGATCAATTTGCAGCAAAAGTCAATGTACATATAAACATGCCCTCTGTCATACCTATATAAAGTACATTCCCACGTTCCCTCCTACACCTCGTCAGGCTGCATGTCTATACAAGCATCTATGCATAACTGACCACAATCGCTGGACTGCGTACTGAACAGTATTTGCCTCTGCTGCCTTTAACTCTCGTAACCCTCCCAACGTCTTCCCCTGCCGCCATCATTTTTTGCCAACCTCCCCCACTGTACAGTTGCCTTCCCTCCTCCAGTTTAACACGTCTACACTCTAGCCAGTGACTTAACCTCCTTTCCGTCCCCTAGCATTTATTTTCAATTCTCTCTTTGGTGGTGGTTCATTATTAATGAACTTTCTACATGTCGTTAATGTGTTGTTTTTTTTTAGTAGAGGCAATACATTCACTATTTTAAGCTCCAAAAGATAGAAAGTGTTTTCCAATGAATGTTCCAACCCTGTGCGACAGCCCCTCGGCTCCACTGTTTTCAGGTAACTGTTACTGGCACAGAGATTATATGAATATACGATATGTTAGTCTTTTCTCTCCACTTTACACAAATAACACTATATTCCGTTCAGTCCTTTGCTTTTGTTATTTTTTTTCTCCTGACAGTTTATGTTGGAAGATAGAGTTAAAAAAAAAGATATAGTAAAAAAAAAACACAGTCTTCATCCTTTTTCATCTCTGGAGTATGTGACTGGCCCGTAATTTATTATACCAGTAGCTAACATATGAAAATGTGCAGTTTCTATCTTTTACTGTCATAAAATCTATTCCCTCTTCAGGTATGGTGAATTCAGAAAACAGCCTCTCTTCTGGACTGGTTTCCTTTCTTTCTTGGATTGTCAAGTTTTGCTCCCTCTTAAATTCTTCTTATACCAAGATGTGTCTCTTATAAGCCTCCTTTTTGCTGTCTCTGTCAATAAATGACCTCAGGCAAATGTAAAATCGAATACTTCTTAAAGCTTTCTTTTGTTCTTCTAAACAGTTGTTTAGAAGCCAGGGTTGGTTGATTGGTTTCCTTTTCATAGAAAGCTTTTGCAAGTGCCCCTGTTTTGGGTCCGGGTCAGTTGGTGCTGGGAGGGGGAGAGCTGTTTGAAGAGCTGCTACGCCCAATGGAAAGAGAGGATTCTGATTGTCATTCAAGAAGAAATGAACATTCTACATTCTTTTCTGTAAATCTCTCCCCACCTCCCTAAGGTCTGACCATGAAGCACCCCTGGTGAAAAGCCACTAACCCATTTAACCCAAGCTGCAATGCTGAAATGTAAATGTAAGCATTTCACACCAAATAACAGTTTTATGCTCTCTGCCATTGCTGTTCCTTCTACCCCTATATGCTCTTACCCTTGACAAGCGAAAGGCCTGCTTCCTCTTTCTCTTGTTTCAAATGCCCTATCCAACCCCAACTGCCTGGCTCCTTTACCCAGCTTCTTCACGGCACCCTCCACCACCTGATCTACCTAAGAAGGTGTCTGTCTCATCTCGGAAATCTACTTTTTATGAAGGTAGAATCTTGTTTTGTTTGACGCTGCATCTCCAGAACCTAGTACTTGAAGGCCACTCAGAAATACTGTTAGATTAGCAATGACTACTGTCCCAACTCAGGGCACAAATTACATAGATGAAAGGGGTTGAAAATGTTTAGTATTCCATAAATGCAAGGCAGTATTACTGCCTGAATTTCACTTTTACCTAATGTTTGCACATATTTTACATTTGTTTCCTATATACTACACATTCACATAGTGCTTAAAACTGAAAAAAGGTCCAATCAATTGAGCAATGGAGATCTGACTCACTCTCAAGGTTGGCGTGAATACAAGTATTTGAAGAAAACCGTGGCGACCTTATCGCTCGAACCAACAAATCGCTGGCAGGTCTGACTCACCCTAGACGCGGAGGACAAAGTTTAGTGAAAACCCAGGAACTTCCGGTTTCCTCAACCCTGAGCCCGAGGTCATGACGTAAACGGTGTGCGACGAGGCGCTCCCGTTTACGTCCTTCCCTGTGACCTTCACGTCCTGAACGGAAGGCCTCGGACTGTGCACTGATTGGTCCCGTGCTGGGCCAGCCCCGCCCCCCGTCTTCTCCACTCCGGCGCAGCAGAAACCGCTCCATTCTGCCCTCCGCGTTTCCCGCATCGAGAAGCCGCCCCGCCGCGTAGTTACGATGCCGCGTGGAAGCCGGAGCCGTACCTCCCGCGTGGCCACGCCGGCCAGGTGAGGCCAGCGCAGGGCCGGAACGCTGGGCGCCGTGACGCCGGGGAAGGCCGCGCTGGGCCGGGAGCGGCCCGGCGGCGGCTCGGGGACGCCGCGGGCGGCGGCTTCGAGGCTGGGCCTCGGCTGCCCCCGGCCGGAGCGACCCCTCGCGCTGGCGGACTGGCGGCGAGCAGGCTCACGCCACGTTAGGGCCCGCCTCCCCGTTCATGGCACAGGACCCAATAGGGTGAATGGTTACAGACTAAAAAAAGTAGCTTTAAATTGCGTTAAGAGGCAGGTTGTAGAAAAAAGCGGCCCGTTGTGCGGAAAACGACCAGAACGTGAAAAATGGGGAAAGCGCTGCGTACGGGGTGACGTCATAGGGAAGCGCTAGCGATGACTCGGCGGCCTGCCAGCCTGGGGCTCGCCCAGCCTCTCTACCCGTGGCGTTGACTGGCTCATAAAATATTTGTATGTCTGCACCTCGCGATAACCTCATCCCGTTTTACAGAAATAAGGAAACAGAACCTCAGACTAAGGGGACTTGGCCATGGACAGCCTGCCGATGACCAGGTCCCCGACCCATTTTGTCCCTTGACCAATTCCGATCATTGAGTAATTCCACATTGCGTCGCGGGTCTAAGGTGATTGAGTTGAAACGGGGCGGGGAAAGCGGTCACTTACCCCAGATCCCACAGTGTAGGAAGCTAAATTACAGACCTTCTGACGGAGCCCCTCCTCTGAGGAGGAAGCACCGCAGTAGGTAATCTGAAAATGGGCAGAGGGCGAAGAGTTTAACATTAGCGAAGTTTCACAGCAGCAGTGGACAGAATATGTGAAACTCTTGAAGCCAACTCACTGTTCTATAGATGGGAAGTACCCCCTGCCATCACCACGATTCAGACTGATTGCCCAGTACTATATAGTATTTCCAGTTTGCATAATCTTTCCAGGGCTGCCAGTCTTTACGGGAGCTGAAAGCCACCTCTTTCTCCCACTGAGCGACTCATGGCTCCGAATCATCAGCTCTGCCTTAGCCCAACGCTTAGCCCTGGCATTACCCCCACGGCTCCTACTGATGGACATTCTTTTTAGTACAACAGTTTAGGCAAGTCATGTCCCCTCACTGGGCTCTGATGTTTCCGGTAAAGTGCAGGAGCTGGAAGAGAGTCTGCCAAGCCAACCAGCTTCCTGATTGCCCATACGTTGGGACATTTTATAGCAGGCTCACCCTGCACTCTTTTCTGACTTAATTGCTCAGTATACAGTAAGCTCCATGAAGGCAAATCTTGTCTTTCATTCTCTGTTGCATCCTCAGCTCCTAGACTAGTCACTTATATATAGCAATTGTTTAATAAAAAGGAATGGATGAAAAAAGATTTTTAAAATTATTTTATTGGACAATTCTTATCACAATCCATACATACATACATCGTGTCAAGCACATGTGTACATTTGTTGCCCTCATCATTCTCAAAACATTTGCCTTCTACTGTAGCCCTTAATATCAGTTGCTCATTTTCCCCCGAAAAAAAAATTTTTTAAGGAATGGATGAATTCTTCAAGGATCAACTCTTAGTAGTCTATGATTTTTATGAGACAGGCTATGTGAATATATGGATATAGTTTTGCCCCCCTTCCAAAACCCCAAACAGAATAAATGAATAAATGATTTCTGCTTGGTGATTGCAACTTTAATGGGAGGCTAAAGAGAGAAATTTTTATAAATAGTTCAGGGAAGTTTCCTATAAAATGTTGTTTGGATACATATAAATATGTATTTGTGCATAATAACGTAAAAAAAAAAAAACAACACCTAAGGATTCTTGTAAAGTTAAACCATTTCCACACCTGACTCTGAGTGGCTCATCATCCATTTCATTCTTTCCTGTCCCAGCCGAGCCCCTCAGATGAGAGCTGCCCCCAGGCCAGCCCCAGCTGCCCACCCACCAGCTGCAGCCCCACCAACTGGGGTCGGCTCACCCGCTGCTGCCCCCCGACAACCCGGTCTGATGGCCCAGATGGCGACCACAGCAGCCGGTGTGGCTGTGGGCTCTGCTGTGGGGCACACGCTGGGCCATGCTATCACTGGAGGCTTCAGTGGGGGAAGCGGCGCTGAGCCCACCAGGCCTGACATCACTTACCAGGTGCGTATCCTGCTTGTGAACGCAGGTGGTTTGAATACCCGGTTATTAGAAACTCCAGTGTGTTGGGCTCGCAGTTATTTCAGCTTCCACAACCTGTTAACCTGACAGTTGAGTTAGTGAGCCTCTCTTTCCTTGGGAGCAGTTAGAATTGTAGCAATCCACCGTGACCCACAGAAAGCTGCCACTTCCCCTTATTTGACTCTTGCTCCTGGTGCTACTCCCTCGCTCTTTGTCTTAGGTGCTAAAGAACCTCTATTAGCTCACTGCTCTGAGCGATGTCACATTTCTTCCTGTAATAAGCAGGGCTGTGTATATTCTGGTCTGTGTCTTGTACTTGAAACCCTCTCGTCCTTCTGGTTGTCTACGCTAGTCCTCACTTCTCTATGGGAAGCTGTTTTACCTGGTGCCTTTCTTAGATCTTTGGCTACAACTCTTAATTTCATTAAGGCCCATTTGGCTTCAGCTTTGAAATGATTTCCTTTCCATATTTTTAGGTGGACATTTAGCCTATGTTGGAGTGGAACCCTAGTTCCCCCAGTTAGCCCCAGAAAACGATGGATGCTCTTACAGCTGTGAATCTAAAGTGAGTTGTTGCTCTTAACTGTTGCGTCTTGGCAGGAGCCTCAGGGAGCCCAGCCGGTGTACCAGCAGCAGCAGCAGTTTGGTCCTTGCCACTATGAGATGAAGCAGTTTTTGGAATGTGCTCAGAACCAGGGTGACCTCAAGCTCTGTGAGGGTTTCAGTGAGGTGCTGAAGCAGTGCAAATTTGCAAATGGTAGGTGATGGATCAACCCAGAATTCCTGAAGACCCTCACATCTACACAGCCCGCTGGGAGGTGCACCTGGGGCCTACCCAGCAATTAACATGTTAAACTGACCAGGCAGAGGAGGGCTGGTTTCCATCGCTCTGGAAATAAGTGAACTCTCCGGGGAACTTTCCAAAGGGTTTGAGGCGACACTTGATGCTTGGGCCCATTGTACTCTGAGTCCGATTATACCCGATCAGGTGCACGCCAGTGTGCCCCGTCTCACTGTGGGTACACAGGGTAAAACGTTTCCCAGTTAGCAAGTCCCAAACAACAACAAAATATGCCCAACACCAAAATAATTACCATCCAGAAGATTTTTAATTAGACTTGTAATGCTTGGGGAGGGAGTAAGTTTATGTTAACAAGAAGGGGGGAGAAGTCAGAAAAGTGAGAGGGTTGGGTCATGGGGCATAAAATGCTCTTGGCAGGCCTATGCGTCTCCTTTAAGAGAGCCGCTAATTAAATCTCTCATGGGAACTCTGAAGCTCAGGGCTGTCTTGAATGTGCCACGGTGATCACCTTTTTCCTGTCAGCCTAAGAGTGCTGATCCTCATGTCCTCACTCCTGTGGGTAGGAAATAGGGGGGATGTTAATCCACTTAGGTGGGTGAACTGGAATTAGGGACTGTCAAGGCCAAGCTTCTGGTGAGGCTACGTGTGTCCAAGAGTGGCTGGATTTCAGCTGCAGGACGGTGTGGCTGCAAGCCCGGTTGCTCCATCACCTCTCCGTCCCGGCGGTTGTAGGGTGGGGGCCTCACTGGTTACAGACATCTGTGGCCCTGAGTTACCAACCCTGCTTTCATAATTCGGAGGGCTTCTGTGTCGTGGAGCGCGTGCCTCTGGTGCTCTTCTAACATCTAACTTTGTCTGTTGCAGGATTGGCCTAATCACATTCAGACCGAGGAACAGGAAAATTCATCTCATGACCAAGTTAATTGAGCATAAATCGATAACTGATAGTAGCCATGTAACGTGTACAAATTAAACCTTTCCTCCATCATTAATCCCTTCCTTGCTTTAAGAATCACCTTGGAAGAAGGCCTTCTTCTGTATTGAGATGATGTCACATGTTTGGGGCTGGGTTTGTGTGGCCCCCTTAAGCTAGCTGTTGTGATATAATTATTTGAATTAACGAAAATAAAGTTATTTTCTTCCAAGATTCTTGGAAACATCCCTTTAAGCATAGGGTCATGAATTGGGTTTGGTAGACAGGGGCATACATACTGCATGTAGTCATTTTATGTGGCAGTGTGTCTTTAAATCATTGTCCTTGGTGTGAAATTCGCATCCACCTGAAATTAACCAAATAAGCCACAAGGTAGAACTGCACTTGTAGGTTTCCAAGCCCATCTTTCTCTCCCTGAAAATCATGTCCACCAGAGGTTACTGGTGCAGGTGCTCTTTAAGTTCTTCCGAGCCAGTGGTTAATTAACTGAGGGCAGCCAGACACTCAGTAGCACTCGACAAGTGGATGACAAGGTAGGGGTGGGATGAGGTGTCAAAATGGGCCGGTTATTTTGTGTCCTTATTCAAGGTTGACTATATTGTAACAACTGCAGACCACTGGGAATATTGGCCCAGGTGTGGCAGTGTTGCCTCAGTGTTCTCTCACTGCACTGCCAGGCCGCCTCTGAGGCCAGTGCAAAGTAGCTGGCCTGAGGTGTGTGACTCACTGTCGCTAAGTAAGCACAAGTCTTAATTGTTCAGAGAGAAAACCCTTTGTGTTCACATAGGCAGCTCCCCTGCAGACATTGCTTTTTCTGCCTGAAAGACATGCTGCCTACACTACCCATCCTAGAGGGAGAACAAAAGAAAACTGGAACTCCCAGCCATTGAATCTATTCGTGAGGAATTCCGCTTCCGCTCTCCAGGAAAGCCCCACTTGGAGGTGCTGACCTTGTGCCCACCTTGGCTCTGCAGTCTAGTCTTGCTCTCAGGGCTTTCCCCGGCTCATCTTCCATGGATACAGTAACCCTTTGTTGCTACATGGCAGTCTTCCAAAGTGGGGAGACCGCCCCCTAGAAGGCATGGCTGCAAAAGCAAATACCTGCTCGGTCCTGGATGAAGGGGATGTGTGATGAATTTGTTTCCTGAAAAGGGCCCCTTAGGCCAACTAAGTTTAGTAGCCCTTGTAATGCAAGGTACACTAATGTTCACTACAGCATGATGGAAACCACGAATTACCCAGTAGAGACCAATAGCTAGTTTTTTAAACTAGGCAGGCTGCAAAGTGGGTTTTGGAAGGCTTTTCCGGCAACCCTGGCAGAGCTGTGAAGGGGAAGCTCAGGAGCCTCTGCGGCTGCCAGGAGCAGTGCAGACGGGGCACACGTGAGGCACCTCAGAAGAAAGGCCTGACAGTCTAGATCTGAGTAGTCAGCCACTGAAAGCCCCCATGGAGACCAGACGGGTGACCGAAGAATAGAACCAGCGTCCTATCTTGAAACAGCACAGATTTTTGCTGTGTCTATTTTTGTTAAGGCATATGTAATAAACCCTATAGCATCTACTCCAATCGTACCTGGTGCTGGTTTTTCACATGAGCTTTCTCCCAGTGGGTCCTGAGGTGGGGGTGGCCCATGGCACATGGGCTGCAGCGTCGGCGCAGTTGGCCCCATGTACCAGAACTTGGCGTACACAGAAAGCACTTGCAGAAAAGCAATAGTGTTCTTGGCAAGACAGGGAGGTCAAGTGAGCGTGGGGGAGGGGGGGATTGGAGGGGGCAGGGAGGATGTCCCGAGGCTACCCAAGCTTCCTGAACCACCCACCAGAGGGACCAAGCCACAGAACACCACCGCCCCGCCTGCCTGCCAAGCCTTGGCCTGCCTCCCAGGCTGCGGCTGAGATTTATTTTGGGCATACCAGGCTCCAGTCATTAAGCAGCAAAGCCTGAGGACGCCCAGCAAGACCTGCTGCTCTGGCCACAGTGGCTGCTCGACACCACTGTTCCAGCCTCGGTGGTCCACTCTCTTGTCCAGGGGGGCTCTGGGACCTCTGGGATCCCCAAGTTGGCGCTGGGGCCTTCAAGGACCTGACGGGTGAGTAGCCAGCAGATGATGGGCAGAAGCCAGGAAGTAGAGGGGTGTCAGGGAGGTGACAAATGACAGCCTTGACCTTCTAATCCCACCCCTGTCCCCTGCCTTCACCCCTAGGGCCTGGCTACACTAAGTGGGTGCCCGCAGCTGTGCTTGTTGACTCAACTCAGTTTGGGGAAGGATTTCAAGGTTGCTAAAAGGAACTCTCTGGTTCCCATTTAGGGATACTGTCCAAAGAGAAATGCTTGGGAGTGCAGGTGGGGACATCTGACAGGCAGATTTGGAGGGTGGGTAAAGATCCCCACCCCGCCCCCTCCCACTGCTCCCCACCCCCAGAACTCAGTACAGCTGATGTCCACTGGGACAGCAGCCTGTGATGGAGCCAGATCTACGCTCTGCCCGGGCTGGAGGCACAGGTGCCCACCTGGGGACTTAAAGCCCAGGCCAGGACTCTGCCAGGCAGGCGGGGGCTGCAGGCAGGGTGAAAGAGGCCAGACACCCCTCCTGGCCATGGCAGCTGTTGTTTTTCCAAGCCTTCTTTGGTAACCAGCCACTCAGCAGTAAGTTCACATCCTGGCCCAGGCCAGCCAGCCCAAGCCTGAGGCAGCCCGAGCTGCCGTTTAGCTGATCAGCAAATAGTCGCTTTGGACAGCCAGGCCTCTGGAGGGCGAAAGTGGCCAAGAGGCAGCTTGGGCCCCACTGAGGGGCCACATGTACCCCCTCCCATCAGTATGATCTTCATTTGAAGTCCTGAACCTAGGGCAGTTCACTTCCTTGATGGTCTCCCAGGCTCTCTGCGTGTGGTCAGAGTGCCTAGAACCAAGGGGACACCTGTCAGGCTGGGGACACAGGCTTAGGGAGCAGTCGCTTCTAAACTCTCCCACTGGGCACAGGTGACCAAGCTGTCCAGCAGATCACAGGCTAACGGGAGATGCATGGCCAACAGGAAGCCTGGTCCTGCGACGACTCAGAGCACCCACAAGGCCTGGTAGAGAGCAGACATGCCATGTCCATGTCCATGGGTCAGTGAAGGACAAGACGCAGGAATGGGGAGTGCCCAGCGCTCCGGGGACATGGAGAACGCGGGACGGAGCAACAAGTAGAGCACAGGGCAGAGTCCTGGGAGGGGGCATGAGGTCAAGGCAGGGTGCTCAGACTGAAGGAGGGCGAGGCCCAAACTGGCAGCTATGTCCCCTCTGACCCCGTGTGCATCAGGGTAGAACTGCGCACCTCAAAGCTTTCTTTTCTCTCCATTTTTTTGTTGAAACTACCCACTGCAAAACCCATCCCCATGCGAGAGTGTCTATGCATCATGATCGGTGACACTGGTGCCCAACGTTTTCAGTGGCTGAGTTTTGGAGCTTGCCAGGCCTTTCTTCCTGGGCTCCTTGGGGTAGACCCGAACCTCCAACTAAGGGGACAATATGTTAGGAAAGTGGAACTGTGAGCCTGCTCCACCCTGTCACACGTGCAGCCAACAGCCAAGATAGGGGCCGTCTTCTCCCAGCACTCTCCCTTGTCCTCTGCCATTGCTCCGTGCTGCCTCCAAAACCAGGGGAGCAAAACACCTGGCATCTCCTTAAAGCCACGCTCGATTACTCTAGTCATTTTCCAGTTTGGTTAAACCAAAGAACTCACTGCCCCCAAGTCCATTCTGACTCATAGCGACCCTATGGAGTAGAACTGCCCTGGTTGGGGGGTGGGGGAGGGAGTAAAAAGGAGCTGTCGAGGAGTTCGAAAAGGAAGAGAATGTTTTGAAACTGAGTGTAATAGCAATTGTACAGACCTGCTTGATGTGATTGAACTATGGAATGATAGGATATAGCTGTACTGACTCCCAATAAAATGGCTTTTGGGGGGGAAAAAAACTGCCCCTGAGGGTGTCCAAGGCTGTAAATCTTTAAGGGAGCAGAGAGTCTCATCGCCCCTCTCCGGAGTGGCTTGTGTTTGAACTACTAACCTTGTGGCTAGCAGAACAACACGTAACTCCCGATACCACCAGGGCTCCTTCAACCTAAATAATTTAACTTACCTAGTGAAAAAAAATAGTCTGCTTTGAGAATTCTGAGATCCATCAATGAGATAAATACTTCTAGGGTTCCAGTGCACAGACGCGTGGGTTGATTCCAAACAGATATGCTTAACTGCACGCATCTTGATGTCCCCATTACATTTTGTGACATAGAAGGTTAGACCAATAAAACTATTTTTTAAACATGCTTAAATATGTCTCTGCTAGAGTAAACCATCCTCTAACAATCGTGGGGGGCGGGGTGGCGGGAGTGTTTCCGTAGGCTATAATACATGAAGATCATACTAAAGTCACAGAAGACAGGAGAGCAGAAGAGAAGGTCAAATGAAGGAGTCAGGCACATTTCATAGTAGCATGCTCACCTCAGGCCCTCTTGGTGGTTGGTCCACATGGAGGTGGGAGAGACTCCTTGATTTCTGACCAAGACCTATATATATTTATGGGTGTGCAAGCCCCTCCCCTGATTCCAGGTAACCACATACGTCACAGGAAGGAGCCGTACAATAGTCATATGCGTGACAGGAAGGGGATGAGCTAGGGGCATACATGCAGTAGGAAGGGAAGGTACTGAGGGTACACGTGACAAGATGGGCAGACCCTAGATGGCAGCCTAACCTTGGTCACCCTTGAGTGGGCTCGACCTTGTCTCGGGCTCTACTTCAAGGAAACAATCTACTATCCTTATTATAAGGGAGTGGGCCCTACTTAGGGTGAGACAGACTACAGTCTGATCGCTCTAGGTGGCTGATAACCTGCAGGGAGAATAACCTCTAAGCAGCTTGCATTGACCTCCAAGTGTACAGTCATTTGCCATGTGTAGCAAACAGCATCCTAGGTTTGACATATATTTGGGGGAGACAACCTGGGGACAAAGCCCTTTTGTATCCCACATCTGCTATCAGTGGATGGTTACAGACAAATTCTGTCAATAATACACAGGTCTTAGTCTCATGAAACCAAACCAAACCCACTGCCATCAAGTTCATGCTGATTCATAGCAACACCCCCACCCCACCCCCGCCTCGTGGGTTTCTAAGACCGTAACTGTTTAGGAGAATAGAAAGTCCTCTTAGGAGTTTGTAGCCAGTGGGAGGCATTTGGAGAGCTCTCTGCAAAACTGTGGGTGCAAGATGAGCACAGGAGGGGGTACCATCACCGTAGAGACCAGCAGGTTGTGAGACCAAGACTGGCTGAGGATGTGGGGTCACAGCCTGTGAGAGGAGGTACCCAGAGTGAGAAGTGGCTCCCGCAGGCTGCGGAGGCTGACAGCTTCCTTCTGTTCCCTTCCCAGAGCTGCTCAGAGCCAAGGATGACCTGGGATGAGGCGGTGCCGGACACCCACTCCACAAAGGGCTTCTACGAGAACTATGAGCCCAAGGAGATCCTGGGCAGGTGAGACCACCCCCTTCTCCTCACTCCACCGTGTAAGCCTGGCTCCCACCCCAACATTTAGTCATGTGGAGAAGACCTCAGCTTGGGGGTATACCCTCCTGGCGGTGGGGAAAAGACTTCTTGCCTGCCACCGAACCTCAGGTTCAATTCCTGGGCTGCATGCCTCCTGCTCAGCCATCTTCCGTTCATTAGTGGAGGCTAGTGGGGTGCTGGGGTGCTGAGCTGGCATCAGAACAGCTTCCGGAAAGAGGAACACCTTGTGATTTCCATCCACAAGCTGGCTGGTGAAAAAATCCTGACTCGACTCCATTGTGTGGGTCTCCGGAAGCCAGGGACCCACTTGATGGCAGCTAGAGAGGTTTTCCCTCCCAGCAAAGAGATCTATTTCCTATTTCCTACAAACACACACACACACACACACACACACACACACACACACACACACACACACACACGGAGCTCAGGGTCACACACACACAAACACAGAGCTCAGGGTCAGGGGTCCTGACATCAAGCTTATTACCTACGAGCTCTGGGCCTTGTCCCTTTGTTTCCCGTTTAAAAACGAGTTCTGTTGAGTCGGGTTCTGACTCACAGCGACCCCGAGTGGGTCAGATTAGAACGGCGCTCCCCTGGGCTTTCAGTGGTTGGCCTTTTGGAAGCAGATTGCTAGGTCTTTCCTCTGAGGCACCCCGGGGTGGCCTTGAGCCTCCAAACTTTCGGTCAGCAGCCGAGGGTTAGCTGTTTGCACCACCTGGGGTGCAACTCCCGAGAGGTCCCTGGGAGTTGGGGCAGTGGGTGACAGGGCGGCCTCAGCCTCATCCTGTCGTCTCTGGGCCCCAGGGGCGTGAGCAGCGTCGTCAGGCGCTGCATCCACAAGCCCACGCGTCAGGACTACGCAGTGAAGATCATCGACATCACCGGGGGAGGCAACTTCAGCCCCCAGGAGGTGCAGGAGCTTCGTGAGGCCACGCTGAAGGAAGTGGACATCCTGCACAAGGTCTCCGGCCACCCCAACATCAGTGAGTGCCTGTGCCAGGGTGCCCCATCACTCCCCGGGACAGTTCCACCCACGGGCTCCTTGCACCTGCCCTGCATTCTGTTCTACCCTCACTGCTGTGGGGACAGAGGGGGGAGGGGGGTTTGGAGTGAGGGCGTCTGAAGCCCCGGGCTGCCCACTCCTCTGCTGGGTACCCTTTGAGGCCTGTCGTGTGTGCGGCAGCCTCCATCCACATCAGCCTGGGGCCCCTCAGTGTCTGCAGCCCCCTTCCACCTACTCTGCGGCCAGATATCAGCCAGTCATTGGTTTCTCTTTCAGTCCAGCTGAAGGACACTTACGAGACCAACACTTTCTTCTTCTTGGTGTTTGACCTGTGAGTACTGGGGCCCCAGGGCTAGCCACCCCCTGGGGGCCCTCTGAGCATTCAGAGCATGCCTGATGCCCCCAGTGCTTTCCAGCCCCCTCCACTGTGGATGTGAGAGAGGAGTGCAAAGGCTTTAGAGATCAGCCTGGGGTCAGGCCCACTCACAGGCCGGTGAGCCCTCTAACAATCCATTTTCTCATTTGCATCCAACTCAATGCTGCCCAGTCAATTTCAACTCATAGCAACCCTATAAGACAGGGTAGAACAGTCCTGGTGGGTTTCTGAGACTGACTCTTACTGGGAGTTGAATGGCTTGTCGTTCTTCCTCAGAATGGCTGGCAGTTTTAAGCTGCTGACCTTGCAGTTTGCAGCCCAGTGCCCAACCACATTTGTATGATGGAGAGCAACAATCACAAGGACCTCATAGGAGCTGTCGGGAGGTTTACTTATCTAAAAAGCTTGATGCCTTTTAACTAGAATGACAGTGCATGAGTCAGCGGCAGGGGCTCAGGAGTAGAATGTGGGAGACCCAAGTTTGAGTCCTGCCCCACCCACCTCCCGCACAGCCACCACCTGCCAGTGAAGGGCTAATGATGCAAACAGATTAGAAAATAAGGGTGGCAATCTACTTCCCAAAATCAGCCAATGCAAACCTGATGGCTTTTCACAGTCCGACCCACAACTGATCATGGGGATGACACGGGACTGGGCATCATTTCCTTCCGTGGTGTGTGGGGTCACCATGAGTCAGGGTCAGCCTGAGGGCAGCGACCAAGGACAAGCGTGGGTCCCACAGTCATTATTCCAGGCTTGGAGGATCCAGTGGTGCACAAGGCAGGTGACATCCCTGACTTCGTGTTGGCATTTTCACTGGAAACAGACAGAAAACAAAGAAGCTCTCTTGGCTTCGTGTCCTGTGTCTATGAACAGAGGGCGGAGCCAAGGCTAGAGACTGGCAGGCTGTTTTAGATGGAGTGGCCCAGGGGTTGCTCAGAGGTGACTTGTAAGGAACATGAAGTCAGGAGGGATTGGAGCAAAGAGCCTCCTGTGGAGGAGGGGCAGGGCTAGTGCCTGGGCCCGGCATGTTCCAGGGACTGTGGGGAGCGGCAGCCCGGCTCGGGGTGGAGGGCTGGAGGGTCAGAGGCCAGGTGAAAAGCATAGCAAACACCAAACCCCCAAACCAACCACGTGTATAGGTTGCTGAATATAAAACTATGACCTGCTCTGCAAGCCTTCACCTTGTTCACAGTAAAGAGTTAAAAGAAACCCAACCCCCCAAAAAACACCCACCAAATCCACTGCCATCAAATAGCTCCCGACTCACAACGTCCTTGTCCTCGGAGGGCAGAACCAAACTGGCCCTGTGGGTCTCCCAGGCCGCCAGTCTTTACAACTGCTTATGTCAGGGCTGGTTTCACCGGAGATCCTGACCCAAGTAGGTTAAGTATTGTATGCCTTACATTCTAGCTACACTCACTCAGTGAAGGGCTTTTGAATTTGGAGGGGAAAACAAACAAGCCACACCCAGCCAACCCAAATCCACTGCCATCGAGTTGATTCCAACTCATGGCAGCCCACTATCTAGGGTTATCTGAGACTATAAATCTTTACAGGAGCAGGAACTCTCCGGGGTGGGGGTGGGGTTTTTTGAAAAGCCTACCTTGTTGTTAGACCTAATACACAACCCATGGTGGCACCTAAGCCTGTGTGTGCAACTAAAGTGCTCACCAACCAGTGTTGAACAGCTGAGTCTTTTTGCTGCTGGGCTGCCACTCACAATCTCTGGCATTGTTGCTGGCTGCCAGTCGATTCTGACTCACTCCCACCCTACAGAACAGGGTAGAATGGCCCCATAGGGTTTCCAAGGCTGTGATCTTTACAGAAGCAACCTGCCTCGTCTCACCCCGAAAGAGTGGCTGGTGGGTTTGAATTGCTGACCTCTCAGATGGCAGCCAAATGCTGAAGCGCTGTGCTATACTAGGACTCCTGGTTTCTCCGGGGCCTTGGAAGTAAAATGATAGGAGCTGGACTCATCCTGCCCTGTAGGAACCAAGGGAGACTCTCAGAATCCCTGCAGTCTCGCCTCTGCCCCCGTGCAGGCCCATGAGCCTCAAGGTGCGGATCCTTGGCTTGAGGGACGCTATTTTGAAAGCTGATCCCACAAGCTCTCCTGGGAGTGCAACTAGATTGTCTGCAACCACATCAACTCAGGAAATGAGAAGATCAGACCACAATTCGTAGCCCAAGAGCAAGCCATCTCCCCTCCTCGGGCCCTGGCACCGCCTCCCCTGTCTACCTGCCCGTCTTTACGATCACCTTACAGCCCTGAGACACCCATCTGCATTGTTACTCCGTTACTCCCAGATGGGGGGTAGTAGCCCTCATGGTGTTACCCACTCCCCTTCACTGGCTCCCCTCTGACTGGGGTCCCTGTGGGGAGCGACTCACTTTGTCCCTCTGGCAGTTAGGGTGGTGGACAGCTCCTTGGGAACAGAAGGACCCATCTGCCAATGTTTCCTTTGTCCCTACAGAATGAGGCAAGGAGAGCTCTTTGATTACCTCACCGAGAAGGTCACCCTGAGCGAGAGGGAAACCAGGTGAGGGAGCCAGGGCAGAGGGGCAGCAGCAGGGCACGTGCTGGGCCCAAGACCTGGGGAGTCTGCGGGGCCTGGGTGCCACCACCTGCTGTCAGCGTTGTTACGCCCATGCAGGAAGATCATGCGCGCCCTGCTGGAGGTGATCTGCGCCCTGCACAGGCTCAACATCGTGCACCGCGACCTGAAGCCCGAGAACATCCTGCTGGATGACGACAAGAACATCAAGCTCACGGACTTCGGCTTCTCCTGCCAGCTGCAGCCAGGAGAGAGGCTGCGAGGTCCGCACGTCCAGTTCCCACCCCAGAAACCCGCTTTCCTTCAGGCCACTCCCAGGGCCTGCGGGCTGGGAATGGCATCCAGTGACCAGGGCCCATTGCTTACCACCCCCACCCACCCTCGGCTGGTGGCCCAGGGCCCAGGGTTAGGGCAGTGGCAGTTAAACAGTCTTGGAAACCCGTTCCACCCTGTCCTACAGGGTTGCAGTTAGAATTGACTGGGTGGTGGTGAGTTTGGTTTTGAGCATCCTGCCGGTCCCTCTGTGCCACCTGCTGACCCTCAGGCCGGCTCTGTGCCCGCAGAGGTGTGCGGGACGCCCATTTACCTGGCCCCCGAGATCATCCAGTGCTCCATGGACCACAGCCACCCTGGTTACGGGAAGGAGGTGGACATGTGAGTGTGCATGGGGGGCATGGGCTTGGGCGTGGGGGGGCCTGGATGTGTCAGCTGCCCCGGCACCCCCAGGTGGAGCACCGGCGTCATCATGTACACCCTGCTGGCCGGCTCCCCGCCCTTCTGGCACCGGAAGCAGATGCTGATGCTGCGCATGATCGTCAGTGGCAACTACCAGTTCGGCTCCCCCGAGTGGGATGACTACTCGGACACGGTGAAGGACCTGGTGAGGGGCGCTGACCCGGCCTGACACCTCTCCCCCGCCCCCCGGGTTCCCAGATCTCCCGCTTCCTGGTGGTGAGCCCGCAGGACCGCTGCTCGGCCGAGGAGGCGCTGGCGCACCCCTTCTTCCAGCAGTACGTGGTGGAGGAGGTGCGGCACTTCAGCCCCCGGGGCAAGTTCAAGGTGCGTCCCCCACCCCTGAGCGGGGAGAGGAGCGCTGCGGGGGGAGCGGGGGCGCTCAGGCGGGGCCGAGGGGCTGGGTGGCAGTGCAGTGACAGGTGTCGCCCCCCTCCCCAGGTGATCGCGCTGACCGTGCTGGCCTCGGTGCGGATCTACTACCAGTACCACCGTGTCAAGCCCGTGACCCGTGAGACGGTCATCCGCGACCCGTACGCGCTGCGCCCGCTGCGCCGCCTCATCGACGCCTGCGCCTTCCGCGTCTACGGCCACTGGGTGAAGAAGGGGCAGCAGCAGAACCGCGCGGCGCTCTTCGAGAACACCCCCAAGGCCGCGCTGCTCTCGCTGGCCGAGGACTCCTGAGGGGTCCCCCGGGCTGGGGGTCCCCCTTCCAAGCCAGCGCTCCCACCACCCTGGGACAGACGTGGGCTGGGCCGGCCCAGGTGGTTGCTGAGGCTGCTGCTCTCTTCGGGACGCCCCCGGCGGCCCGGGGCGCACGCACACCCTCAGCGAGTATCCTCACCACCCCACCATGTCCAGGGACACCACGTGGGCCGGGGACTGTCCCCACACAGCCGTGGAGGCCAGCGCCCCAGCGGATGGGAAACCTCCAGGGGCTGTCTTCCTGACCTGCCACCGCCCAGCATGCTCCCAGCAGCCACCTTCTGCAGAGCTACCTGGCGTTTTACTGCACTTGACATGACAGACAGGGGAGGGGGCTGTGGAAGGAAGCGGGTTCCTCCTCCAGCCGCTGGCTGGGGAAACGGGCACCTGGAAGGCCAGTCCCCGGGCATAGAACCATGGTGGGATCCCTGCAGCTGCTGATTTAAAACGTTTGACCAACCAGCTGGTTCCAGCCGTCACAATGTCTGACTCCTGATGGGTGAATCCTGTATGTCAAAGAGAAGCGCAGGCTCCGGGCCACCATGGGGGATGAGCCTCCTCTCCAGGAGCCGGGTCCCCTCTGGGCTGGTGTGAGGCGCCACTGCAGGATGGGGGAGGATGTCCCTCGGGTGGTCAAGGCAGAAGTTAAACAGTACTCAGTGGCGGCCCTGCGGGCTGGGGTGGTGATTGGCCTGTGTAGGGCTGCTCACAGCTCCCCACGTGGGTGGCCTTCACTAGAAGCGCAGCGGAAGCCTAGGTTGTCTGAGGCGGAATCGGGGGTGTTGCCCATCCTGCCGATGGAAAGGGGGAGAGAAAGGGGGCATTGGCTGAGGAAGGCCCATGAGCCTGACCTAACTTCCTTTGCCGACCCCTGGGTGCCTCCTGTGTGGCTGGAGGACTGGGCCATCATGTCTAGACTGAAGCAGGTGGGAGGACCCTGCCCTATTGCAGAGCTGGGGGGGGGAGGGGGGACAGGGACTGAGGAGGGAGTGATCCGGTCACAGCACTGACCCACTGGGGAGCTCACACTCATCTTTCTTCATCTGCCATTGCCCCACCCACCCTGGAAGACAGATCTGTCCCAGAAGGCTGACCACCCAGTTTTCCGGCCTCTGGGCCACTCGTTAATCCAGGCCGTTTAACGATTGGTCGGGGAAAAGCCAGTGGCTTCAACATCCTGGGAACTTCTGGGAGTTGGAATGCCCTGAGGCCCCACATGCCCCAGGGCAGAGGGATTGCAAAGGAAGCCACCTGATTCCCTCTGCCAGCTGAGAGGGAAGGGTGGCGACAGGCCCGGCCACCGGGGTCCACTATCACCTTCTGTGGGCTGAGTAGGTACTGGGGCCACTCTTCCTTGGTTGTAAAACTAAGGGGTTTAGAAATGGCCTTTTCTGCCCCTGCCCCTTTGAAGAGTTCATGACCACTGGCTCCCCCTGATGGGGCCATGGCAAAGCCCTCTGCCAGCCTCACAGTGTGGACAAGACAGGAAACCTCAGGATGAGGAGCTGGCTACACGGGCCCCTGGGTGCCACACTGAGCTGACAGGGAATGGCCCATGTTCTTGGGGAGTCCCTGTTCCTGCTACAACAAGTGCTGTGCCCCGGCGTCTCTGTGCCCAGGGCTGGAACACAGCACACAGTGGCTCAGATGCCGCCCTGCTCAGGAGCCAGCACCCAGACCCTTGCCTCTGGCCCCCAGCCCCTCACCTGGTGGTGACCCGAGCTCGGTGGTTGGCTGAGCCATCGGCGGTGTCAATCCAGGATGCCCCCCGGAGTACGCGCATGTCCTGCTTGCCAGACTGGTAGCTCGAGGCTGTCCACTCCCACACATTGCCCATGAGGTCATGGAGGCCTGATACCCAGCAAGAGGCCAGTCACAGGCTGAGGAGCCCAGGGCTTCCCCCCCGCCCCCCACCATCCCACCCTTCACAGCCCAGGGCAGCAGTGGGGGTGGGGGCTTTACTCAGCCTCAAGCATTGGGCAGAAGAATCCGACCCACCCATTCGTTGGGAGCCAGGATGGCGCCTTACCGTAGCTGTTCTGTGGGGGGAACGCGTTCACCGGGGAGGCCCCGTGGAAGCCATCCTCAGCCCGGTCACCTTTGGGAAATGCTCCCTGAAGGGAGAAATCCAGATGGGAAGACATACTATCAGATTCAGGATGAGTTCCTGCTTGCCCATGGCAGCACCCAGGCCATCACACGGTACCTCCGGGCGCAGTGCCCAGCGCAACAGCAAGGTTATCTTCCTGTGTCATCCAGGAGGGCACGGGGACCGCAGACAAGCCCCTCCCCTCAGCTCCCCACTCCCTGTCCTGTCTGAGCCCTTGGCTGGCTCAGAGTGTGTGTGGCTCTCCCTTCATCCACTCCCCACTCTCTACCATCAGCCACCCACTCCCCTCTGCCTGCAGCTCTCAAGCTCTGGTGCCCAACCGAGATGGACTGATCCTCTTCCTGGGCTGATCCTGTTCCCTCAGCCCCCAGAGCAGGAAGCCCACTCCCTACCACCTCCTGGGGAACCTCTTTGCCCATCACTCTCACCCCAGCTACCACCACCCCGTCCTGCTCTTTATCCCCCCAGCCGCTGGGACGGAATAGCCCTGCATGTGCAGCTGCAATTCTTCAACGCACTCCTTGCTGTTAGGGTTTCAGCTGCTGACAGTTTGGAAGCTGCTCTTCAGTGGGGGGACGCGGTCGGTGGGTGGGTGGTGGTGAAGGGTTTATCGTTTACTCGACACTCACTGTGTGCTAGGGTCTGTGCTGGATTGCTGACATTCCTCATTGACTCCTCACAAGGTTTGTCTCCATTTAAAAGAAAAAACTACCATCCCTGAAAGGATTGCTCCTTTTAATCCATAAACCGAAACTGTTGCTCGCTGGAGTCTTCTTAAATCCAAACCCTCCTTTGGCTTGACAAGTAAAACTTAGCTGCCTTGAGCAGCAAGCTGTCTTACCATCTACCTCTAAAGGCTCAAACAGGGGCCCTGGTGGCATAGTGGTTAACCATTGGGCTGCTAGCCACAAGGTTACCCGTTCAAAACTACCAGCAGCTCTGAGAGAGAGATGGAGCTTTCTACTGGAGTCGCCGAAACCCATAGGTGCAGTTCTACTACCCTGTCCAACAGGGTTGCTGTGAGCCAGAGTCGACTCAAAGGCAGTGAGTTTGTTTTTCATGTGGGATCAACCTTCTGCTCCCATAAAGAGTTGGTATCTCAGGTACTTCCAGGGGCGAGATGAGTCGGAGACAACTGGGGAATGAGTCAGTTCAGAATGAGTCAGTTCTGACTTCGGAGTGCCCCTGTGGGGTTCTGAGACCAGCGCTCTTTATGAGTGTAGAAAGTGGCAGTTATATATATATACACACACACACACATATATATATGGAATCAGACTGACAACAGCAAAACAGAAAGATTAAACGAGGCTTTGGGGGAAGTGTGTTGATGTTAAATGGGGAGGAACAGCTCAGCAAAGGAGGGTGGGAGTAATTGTTCAAGTCATTATGTCATGAATGCACTGGGTTACAGTCTAGAAAAGGTTGAATTGGTCTGTGTTCTGACTTGTGTACTCTGAACAAAAAATTATATATATATACACATGTACTTTTTTACATATATGATGAATCATATATGCATATATATCTTTTTGTCGTTTTGTGGACATGAGGAAGTATGCAAGGGAACTTAAAAAAAAAGCTCAAAATGATTAACTCTTATTTCAAAGATCAAAGAGTGGAAAGGTCATCTCTCTTTCCACCACGCTCCGATTCCAAGCTAAGACCATCGGGAAGGCCTGGCGGCTCCCTCGGGTCTTCTTGGTGACTTTCCCTGGTGGTGCCTCCAAGGGTTCTCGTCCAGCTACCGGCTTCCTCCCCTCTATAAGTCTTCCTGCAGGAAGTGTGGGTGTTCCCACCTCTCTGACCCAGATCCCTACCCTAAGCTCCAGGCAGCCCCCAAAGCTAACTTTTCTCAACAAACGAAAACTCACAAATCAAGTTCGAGCCCTCCGACTAGGCATGCCGTTATCTATTTTGGAAAATGGAAAATGCCATCACCCCAAACTTGGATTCCTGCTTGAAGTCAATTCTCTTCTACCTCCCCAAAGCTGGCTAGCTAGCAAACCCTGTATCAAACTTAGCCCCGTCTCATCCATGTGGTGTCCCTGATTAATTCAAGTGCTTCCACACAGCCTTAACTTCAGACTTCCTGTCACACTCAGGTCCTCTTCATCTGGCCCCAGGACCCCACCACCTGGACAATGTGGCATACCTCAACATCAAAGGGATGCCAGTGCTGTGCTTAAAAGCCTCTGCTGCGAAAGAATGAGGGACAATGTGTGGCTAACTGCCTCAGTAGCTGCTTCCTTACCCCTGAGACCAGAGGGGAGGGGGTTGGTGCCCGACGACATTTGACCAAAGAGCCCATAAAAGAAGACAGGGAACAGTGTTTCTATACAGGGGCTGAATACAGAACAGAATCTCAGATTCTCACAGGCTCTAGTTCCTAGACATTCTGGAGTCATGGAGGGTGAGTAAACCCCTAAAACCACTGCCCTGAGATCATCTTTAACCCGTACAACAAACAAACAAAACCCCCTTGAAGTCTTCGATAGTTCAACTAAGCTGTAAACATGGTCTGCTTTGAGCATTCTGCTCTGTCAAGGACTATCTACGAGGGGGCTTCAGAGGTTTTTTTTGGTGTGGGGGGAATAAGTTCATGGAAATATTCCCTTATTTTATCATTCAACTTTTCATAAGGCTTTTGAGTCCCCTCATGTAGGAGATCAGATTGCCAACAGTCACCAAAAGCCTGGATGGAAACCTTGGCAGACAGTGGGTTCATGTTCATGGGGAGGAACGACTTAGCATTAGCGGGGTGAGAGGAGGAGAGCTGCCCCACTTGAGGAACGTCACCCCCATCACCACCTGGCAGAGAGAAAGGGCTGAGGTATGCGCAACAGCAACACAACACAAGTAAGGCAGGAAAAAACCACCTCTGCTGGAATGCGGACAGAAACCTCTACATCCGGTTCATTCTGACACCATTCACAGCAGCCCAAAGGGTGGAGACATGGGAATGCTCACTAGGAAAGAATGGATAAGCAAAACAGGGCCTAGACACCCATGAGAATACAAACCACTCAGCCTTAAAGAGAAATGGAGTTCTGACCCCACAACGTCAGGACCAATAATGGGAGGAGGGATGCCAGCAGGGGGAGGGGAAGGTGCGGGAAGAGAGAGGGCACCAATCACAAGGATCTACATATATACCCCACCCAGGGAGACGGACAACAGAAAAGCGGGTGAAGGGAGACATCAGTCAGTGTGAGACATGGGGAAAAAAAATTATCCAGGGTTCATGAGGGAGGGAGGGTGGCGAAGGGAGGGGAAAAAACGAGGAGCTGATACCAAGGGCTCAAGTAGAGAGCAAGTGTTTTGAGAATGATGAGGGCAACAAGTGTACAAATGTGCTTGACACAATGGCTGGATGGATGGATTGTGATAAGAGTCGTATAAGTCCCCAATAAAATGAGAGACAAAAAAACAAAAGAATGATCACAGAGGGGGAAAAAAAGAAAAAGAAAACGTCATGCTGAGTGAGGTAAGTCGGTCCTAACAGTCGACATAGTGTCTGACCTCTAACCTGAACTAGGGAAATGGGAAGAGGTGATCAGAGGCAGGAGGGAGGGGGCAGAGTCACAGCTGAGGGGTCACTGGGCTGCTGCGAACACTGGTGTCTGATTTGGAAACAGCTGGTGGTGACAGTTCTACAAGCCAGGGAGTAAAATCAATCGTCAGTGAGCCATCTGGATAGAAATTGCTGGACGGGCCAATGCTTTGGTTACATCTGAAGGTATTTTTACTCCCGTGAAACAAAACACCTTTGCTGGTTCTCACCACCTTGCAGGGTAAAACGGAAAGCACCTGGCCCTTCACAAGCTGCTCCCTACTGCTCCCCTACCCCACCCTCTATGTCCTCTCTTCCAGCCCGTTTCCCTGGGCACCAGCTTCTCCGCACAGTGCTGGGCACACATCTCCTCCGCCTGGAGTGCCCTTCCCACCACAGCAAACACCTGGGCCATCAGCTCAAATGCCACCGGTCTGGACTGGTATGGGTTCCTGGATACATTTGACAGAGCTAAGGACAGAGCCGGGACGCCTGCTTCTAGGGTTACCAGTTATCAGCCCTACTGAACAGAGTCCTGGGAATCCCGCCAAACCAAACCACAGCAAGGCCACGGCTGTAGCATCAATTCCGACTCACAGTGGTGACCTTTCAGGACAGAGGTGAACTACTCCATAGGGCTTCGGAGGCTGTAAATCTTTACAGAAGCAGACAGCCTCATCTTTCGCCTGCAGAGCTGGTGGGTTCGAACCAACAACCTTCTAGTTAGCAGCCCGAGGTTTGAACCACTATGCGGTCTCGAGCAGGCCTCCACCAATGCATGGTATAAGGACAGGAGCTAGAAACACAGGCCTCACCTGCCACAGGTTGGTGCGGTTGGGCTGGAACTGATTCCCCCAGGGGTAGACTTGACCTGCAGGGAGTCAGGGATGGTGCAGGCGGGGGAGGTGAA